GTGGGATATGGAATAGATTTGGATTAAGTGGAAGAAGGAGACTTCGGTGTAAAAGGCCTTAGAGAGTGACTCCCAATTTATTTTTCTCATTTTTCTTACATTTTTATCTCTCTTTAACTATAATGGATTTTTAAAAAATTATGATGTCTATAGGCAACGTCACCGTGATCATTGGAGCTCATTCTGCAGTTCTTAGCTCTGAGATATTCTTAAGTGTATTGCTACAAAGTCAAGAAGCATTTGGTGGGGAAGAGATGGTAGTTAGCTCTGGTTGTCTGAAATACGTTTCTTTCTTTACTGTATGTAGTTAGAAGACTGGAAAAATTATCAATCTCTGATGTTTCTAGTCTGTTGATTGTATCTTTTTTGGGCAGCCAGGATTGAATTTAGGGTACTTTGGTGAACTCTAATTGGTCTGTGAGACAGGTCTCATCAAGTTGCCCCAAAAGACCTTAGAACTTGAGATCCTCCTAACTCATCCTCCTGAGTAGCTGGGATTTCAGACCTGTGCAATCCCCCTGTTTCCATGCTTGGTCCTTGCACCAACTTCTCTTGCTTTTTTTTTGTTTTCATCTGACAGACAAGAATAGAATTAAAGTTAGAGAATGGTTTGGATTTTGTTTTGTTTTTTAAGAAAATTTTAAATCCTGACCAAATTGTAAGTATTATAGTTGAGTGCAATATGATAGCCAGCCTCATATAAGGCCATTTTAAATTATTATTTTTACTACATAAAATGGATGAAAATATGTGTAGCTCAAAACTGTCAGAAATTGATATATTAAGGCCATTAGAATATCAGTGCTGACATGGTTGATTTTATATTGGTAAGAAGGCATGTGCCGATTAGCACAGGGTCTTAGGAACATGGTCATTAGAGCCATGCTGCCAAATGCAGTGATGAAGTTACACATACCCTTCTCTTCAATTTCTTCCTACTTTGAATATCAATATGATTTAAACTTTGACCCATGAGCACTAGATACTTAACAAATTTTACTTTTATTAATGACTGTGTTTTACAATCAGTTTAAAACTTCATTTCAACATTATCTGTTATTTTTCAAGATTAACAACATATTCCATTTTTGAAATAAAGAGAAAACGAAATTAATCCTTGCAAGTAATTAAATATTGAAGTAAAGTGTTTTCTTGTTTGTCAGTAGATGACGAAAACTGTGTTCTTCAACTAAATAAAGGAGCAAGGCCACAGAGGATTTGATTGTCTCAAACAAGACTGCATGCTGGAGACGATCAAGTTGTTTTCTATGCTACAAATAAATTGACCAGCCCTGCAGAAGAGTGGATAGGGTAACAGGCTGTCTTTGACATGACAGTAGGCTCTCCGAGAAGCCTGCGGTACAATTCCACACCATCTGGCAAACTGAAATTTAAAGTCCTTTCAGTTAAGCCTTTTATTCTTTTCATTTTGATTTCTTTTTTGAACCATGGAATATAATAGAAGGCACTTAACCTCATTTTTAAAACAAAGTTAATATTTGAATATTTGTATTTCACCAGCTCCCTTCTAAATTATTTTTTATTCAAATTAAGCCAAAATGCAAAAGCATTTTATAAGTTTTAAAACATCACATTTCAACCTAAAATATACTTAATACTAACATCTTATACTAAGTTGCTATGCCTTTGAAGTTAAGGTATAGTCATTTACTTAATAAATTATTGACATCGGAGGATTTGTTGAATTGTTGTATTGGATCAACATATTTTTGAAACCAATAAAATGACAATTGCTGAATGTTAGTGCCTTGCTTTTACTTGTCTTAATGTGTATATTTTTGTCCTATAAGAATGGAAAGGAGATTGTCTTGACACAGAACATTCTTTGTTTAATTCTGACACCTAAATTTTTTAGTTTCTATGGAACTCTTTCATATATATGTTATTGATAGAAGATATTTTAGTTATACAAAATGGTTTTTTGCTTTGAAATTTACCAAGAAGTTTTATTTAAGATCTAGAATACAATTCCTAAAATGTCAACTTTTCCAAAAACTATGACTGCACAATAATGCATTGCCTCTATCATGTTAGAACGTGCATTGGACCCAAAAACCAGGAAGCAAGCCACCATCCTTCAACAATTTGAGCAAAGATAGAATGAATGCCTAAGGAACAACAAAAATGGATTTGCAGAGAATGGGTTGTTTACGTCAATCAAGAACCATTATTTAAAAAAAAATTAAATGGTTTTCAGCTGTATGCATTAAGTTGAACCTTTGGCACTAGGAACCAGGGCATCTTATCACGTAGGGCTAACATATTAGAAAATCGTGTAGTGGCTAAGGGATAGAACCATCAGCATTCAAGCAGTGTTGTCAACTCGGCAATAAAATGTTCTACTGAATTTCTTCTTTGTCTAATTACTGCATGACTGGTAGCAAATTTGAAATTAGGAAAGGAGCCAGGCACTCCTTTTGTTTTCTGTTTACAACAGAACAGGAAACAAACTGAAACATAAGCCCAGTTTTACACTGACAGTTTTGAAGAACATCAATTATACAATGAAAGGACTAAACAGAAGTGTTTACAGATACCAGACAATAGCGAGCGGTCAGTAGACCTTCACAGGGCTTTGCATGGTACTCAGCAGAAGCCACTTTGTAATTACTGGCAGTAAACAGGCAGAATCCTTTGCCTAGAACTTTAGGGAATCATGCAGATAGCCCAACGGTAATGCAAGGCTTTTCTCAAGGAGCGTGTAGGCCAACATTGCCCCAGTTCTCACAAATAATCTCAGTAGGTACAGTGCCCCATAGATCTGCGGCATTGGTGCATGGGGTGAACCAGAAGGATCTCAGCATATCGGGGCCTCTCAAACTTGTAGAGCAGCTGAGTGCCCGGCATCACAATGAAATGTTCTTCTTCCTCCCACAACTTTATTAACTGCAAATGCCTTATTATCAGCATTTCCCTGCGCTCTCTTACAATTGGCATACTCCTCAATAATGGCATCTACATTCTTTTTAGCAGGGAGCTGGAACAACCGCTTCTGCCTAGTAATCAAGTCCCAGTCCTCCACAGCCGTGGTTTTAATTCTTCAGGACTCTTCACTATCACTTCCATTTTTTTCTTAAATGCCTCCTCACTCTCCACAGAGGGGTCTGCCCTGCCCTTTTCTTCTGAGGGGGCTGGGGGAGACTTGGGCACTTCGCTGATACTACCACCATCTCTGTTGCCTGGAGTCTTCTGCTTGTTCTTCCTTGTCTTCCGCACAGAACCAGAAGAGATGGGTTCTCAGTAGAGCAAGCCACCCTCCCATCTTCCTGGGAGAGTGGATTCAAGATTCTTTGGCTGTGAACCAGCCAGCTTCTCTCCTGAGGCAGATCCCCTCAACTTACTTCTCTGTGTGTTGCTTCGAGTTGGCTTCTTAAAGTTCTCTTCTTCAGCAGATTGGTGTCCACGAGTTTGAGAAGCCTGCTTTCTGGAACTCATTCAACCCTGGTTTTATTCCAACAGACAGTGTTCCTTCTTTCCCTTCCAAGGACTCCTAGTAATTTCCCAGATGGAATCTTACAGACCTCCTAGGATGGTCTGGAAGGATGTGTTGGAATACAACTGGTATTCTGTAAACAGGAATGGTTCTGCCCCCAGGGTCAGATCTCGTGGTCCTTTCTGTGTAGCAAACTTAGATTTTCTGATGATGACTTGAAACGAGAATGCAGCTCTTCCCAGCAGTTGACGGTTGATCACTGCTGCTCCTCCAACCACCAGCTATACTAAAATGTTTTCACACACAACTTTGTATACGAAGTTTAATCTGTTAAACACAACTAAGGGAAAAGTAGGACTGTTTGGAGATTAGATTCCCACTAGCTTTCCTTGGCTTAATGAAAACTTAATCAATTACTAACTGAAGAGCATGGTAGGATCTACGGAGCAATAGAGGGAAATTGGCTGTTTAATAGTATATGTGAGAAATAATGAGAAGGAACAAAGAGGGCTTTGGAGGACTAAGAACTGTCTGACTAATAGATTCCCAAAAGTCAAACTTCCATGCCCTGAATTTGACAATCATATGATAATAAAAATTTAAAAAAAATACACTCAAGTTTGCTCAAGATTCCAGACTCATTTCAGAACAGTAATTTTTAACCACCTGAAATCCTCTGGTTTAGCCTTATAGAAACTGGCCTTCAGTTTGCCATCAAAAGTAATTAATACCTGCAAATAACCAGTATCAAGCTTTTGGATAAAGAACTCGTCAGAGTTCCCTTCCCTGCAGAGCAGTAGTTAACTGGTGAGATACTAACCACAGCGATAGTTTAAAGTCTGGAGTGGTTTTAAAGGGAGCTGGCAAGTGCAGAAACATTTACTGTGTCTTCCTTCATCAGAACAGTGTTTGTGGCATTTGAGCGACACCCCATGCAGTCATCACCCCTCGTGGTGCTGCATTAGACTCTCTATGTCCATCTCTGATCCAGAGCTAGAATTTCACCTGAAAGGTGGCTTCCCGTGTTTCTCACCCCTTCCCCTTCACTCTCAGCTCCCTTTATGGAACTCTTTTCCATGTAGGCATGACCAGTGGGAGCAGACCTCTTCAGCCAGCCTCCCCTGAGAGAGGAACTATAATTCATAAAGGGGGCAGACAAAAGAAACAAGCAGCTGTGATCCATTGCTTTACAACTGGACATGCTCACACACACCTTTAACCCCAGCACTCAGGAGGCAGAGGCTGGCATACCACAGCCTGGTCTACATAGTAAAATCCTGTCTCAAAAGGGAAAAAAATATTGCTTAAAAAATGGAGGAACCAAAGGACTGAATTCTCTTATGAGAATCCTGAAGTTGAAAACACAGTAATCCAAATGTAGGTCAATAGAGCTATTTAATCTCCAAATCTGCGGGGCAACTCCAGTATAGAAGTAATGGGATACTGAGCAGAAAGAAAGGATAGAGCATTTAAAATAAAACTCCTCAAACTTGATGAAAAAGTTTAAGATATGCATAGAACTCAGGCAAATCCAAGTAGCATAAACATGGGAAGATACACAGGCATGTACTGGTTAAAAGGTTGGAAGGTAGAAAACCCTAAAAGCAACAGGAGGAAAACAATTGATCACATACAAGAGAACTTATCAGAAACCGTCACTGTGGTAAGTAGAGGAAAGAGACTGGTGGCGAGCGAGCAGAGGCCGGTAGACCAGAAAGCCAGTGAAGCCGAAAACCAGTCCAGAGAAGCAACTGAATAAAGCTGAGGAAGCCCAGCAAGCTTTGAGCTGCCTTCTACTTCTTTACTCCTGTTAGTAAAGCTCAGTTCACAAACTTCACAAATGCTGTCCGAAAAAAGCATTTCTCTTTTGTTTGTGATGTGTCCCGGAATGTGTACTTGGAATAAATTTACCTTTCTTGTTATAACTTTCATGGGTGCATATTACTGAAAATAAATCCAATCTCAGTTTTTATTGAATTTATTTGTATCCTCTGAATATTTACAGTAATGGTTTATCTATATATTTGCATGCAGTATTTTTAAACCACCTTGTTTTTTGTTAGTAGGCTTATGGAACCTGACCTCTTTATGCTTGGTTTCTAAAATATGAGACTGATGTAATTATTTTAAAGATTCTTCTCAAAACTTCTATTTAAAGTCTTACCTTTAATTTGTTATGATTGAGAAGGATTTTGAGCGCTAGCAAAAAAGGCTCAGCTGGTAAACCTGTTTGCTGCACAAGCCCGGCAACATGCGTTCAGTTCCCAGAACCCATGAAAATGTGGAAGGAGAGGACCATCTACACAAAATCATCTTCTGGTCACCTCGTGTGTGCCGTGTATACCCACCCAAACATCACACGCTTGTGCATGCGCACACACACACACACACACACACACACACACACACACTTGCATGCATCAATAGTCAGAAATAACAGAAAACTTTTAAAGGAATTTTGAATAGTTTGGGTCACTCTTGTATTTGTGTGTGTGTCTTCAATCATGGACAAACAAGGGCTGTCAGGGCCTCGCTGAGAACACTCTCCGGTCGTCCTGTGTAACCCTAAAAGGAGTCGTCCCTTTGACAAACTTTCTTCGCTGGAGCCTCACACAAAGAAGAAAGTCTGGCAGAAACACAGATGATTAATGTCACAGCAGGGAAAGCTCCATCTGCGTCTCTGCTTCGGTTTACTGTGCGTGTGAAGTAGATTTTCCTACTGCAGCTATGCTAGGTGTATTTCTTCATTCTCGCCGTCCTTTTTTGACACTTTAGTGTGAATTCCAGTCACTGCTTTATAAGCTATGAAAATGTGCTAGTCTACAAATAGCATTACCTCATTTAAATTCTTACACGAGATGAAAATAGAAGTCCGAGCAGTTTTCCTGTTTGATAAACTTACTTTGAAACTGTTAAAAAGGATGTAAAGCAAGAATCACCCTGACACTCAGTGTGCTCTGCTAATGGGTTAAACAAAATGTTACCATGGCCATCTTTTTCCAGAGGTGAAATGTACAAACTGTTTCTGAAAACTGAGGTAGTCACCACTTCCTAGACACTAGCAGTGTATGGGGATGAGGGTGTGGACGCTCACAGACCTGACCACTGCTGAGTGTAAGTCAACTATAGATAAACATTGCTGGGGAAATCAGTAAACACAATAGGTGCTCAGTGTCGGCACTCCTACTAGATTGTTAATAACGCTACTGAGATTACAGTTACCCGGGAAGTAACAAACCTCTGAGAAGCATATAAGGACCCCAAAAGTTCTCTGTGGGTACAGAAAGCACAGCACTGAGGTCCACGAGACCTTGCTAACTTACCAACACTGCCCATTTCCTCTCCGTGTTTGCGGTATCATCTTTGGGTTATTAGAACCCCTATTCGGTTCACTGTAGGAATCTGATGTTTTCACATAACTGCGCTTATGAAAATACATTTGGGGAGCATTTCCCTAGTAACCTTTCTTAGTTGGCCACATTGAGCAGTGAGGGGGCAAAATTTAGTAATCATTAAATTTGGCTGATAGGTATGTAGTGGTCAATTGTACTTATTTTCTCTAATTTATATATATTTGAAGGATGTATTACATGCATTCCTACCTCGCCATCTCAGTCCACCAACTCCTGAAGGAGCCTCGCTGTTACTGCACCTGGCCTGCAGAGTTAGCTAATTCCCTGCAGGAGTTAAGTATTACAACACCTACCTCTTATCCTGAAAAAAGTCAGGTACATTCATAGACTTAATTCATCTTACAAAGATAGTAAACACATTTTATGTTTGGTCTGGATACTTTGTTCATATTAAAACCACAAAAATACTAAAAGTAAAATCTTAGAAACCTTCAAGTTTCTAAGTACAAAACCTGGAAGTACAATGAGTACATAGATAACAACTGATTACAAAGAAGGGTTTTTTAAGCACTTTAAAAAGAAACCAAAACCGCTATCAACATTATTAAACACTAGAGAAATCAAGATATGGACCCAGAACAATTGCAAACTAAATCAAAGATTCTTCAAATGCTGCTGTGGAGGGAAATAGCTTAATATCAGACAAAGACAAATCTGCATTAACGCAGTATAGTTATCATGTAGCACATAAAAGTATGAGAAACTAGCTGGGTGGTGGTGGCGCACGCCTTTAATCGCGGCACTCGGGAGGCAGAGGCAGGCGGACCTCTGTGAGTTCAAAGCCAGCCTGGTCTACAGGCGCTAGTGCCAGGACAGGCTCCAAAGCTACAGAGAAACCCTACCTTAAAAAAACAAAAAAGTAAGAGAAACTAATAAATTTAAAATTAATTGAAGCAAATTACTTCCTCTTTTCACCTGTGTAGTGTCCTTTTAGTCCTTCTGTTGGCAGAGCCTAACAGGAACCAGAAATGTTTGCAAAATTCTAAAGGACTGTTTTTATTGGTCATTTTTTTGTTTCTGTCATGAAATACCAAAGAGAGGTGAATTTGTACAGAAAACCTATTTTATTTAGCTAATGGTTTGGGATTCTAAAAATCTACCTTGGCTGCCTCACCTCAGGGTAGACTGCAATCTCAAGAGCAATGACTACATGGTAGGACGGGAATCCAAACACTGGCTGAAATAAGATTTAAGCCTTTCCTCACAATTCCCTTGAAAGAATTGATAATCGTTTTTTAGAACCCCCGTTTGGCATAACTGCCCACGAAGCCGCACTTAATGAAGCTTTCACCTCCTATCCTCGTACTAAAGACCAAGACCTCAACACATAAACCTTTGAGGAAACAAATATCAGAACCCCAGAAGTGGGCTGGAAACATTAAGAACTAGCATGATGTTCTGAATTGTTGTAAGATTGGGCAATAACAAAAAAATCGTACTTTTTGAAGATATTGTGGGTGTACATGGAGATTTCCCGGGCACTGACTTCTCAGTCGGTTTTCTGCCTTGTGTAAAAGTAATCCTATTTCAAAACTTTGTTTCCCCTGTTGAGATTAACAGGAAGCATTTACAGTCTCAGTAGTGTTTTGACAGGAAGCTGTGCAAGGGCCCCATGTAAGCCTGGGTAGCTGGCTGAGCCTTGCAATGAAAGATCACAACAGCACTGGCTGAGGCTACTCCAGCAGTAGGTGGGCATCCTCCGGACAGCTGAGCTTGAACGGTTAAAGTCTCAGTTTGCTGGAATGTCTTCACCAAGAGAAAAAGGCCAGGAGCCCTGCTTCATGAAACAGGAGATGTGCAGAAAGGTGGCTCTGCAAACAGGCTCTCAGAGAAGAGAAATAAAAGCATCATTCTTCATCTACATAGGCACCTTGGTGCAATTCCAACCACTAGAGCGTGAGTGGGACGAGTGACCTGTACCCTCATCTTACAAATCAATGGTCTAGTTGGGAATTTAGCAGTGCTAAGTCTACAAAAATCATTAAGTGCTTTCTTGGTTCTAGAAAGGTAGGATAGACAGTATGTCAATCCTAAGGAACAGTCTCATTGTCTGAACAAGTATTTTACTCTACCACACAAATTTATTATCTTATATTCTTAGAGATAAGGAGTCTAGATCAGCAAGAATGTGCTCTGAAATTTTCAGAGGTACTCAAAGATCTGTCCTTTTTCTCCTCCAGCCTCACAGACTGCCTACATTCACCACACATGGCTCCTCCTCCATCTACCAACAAGGAACACAGCATCTTATTATGCTTCGTTCTGACTCCCTACTATGAAGGTTCTTGTGGTTAGATCAGTCTACAGGGGAGTTTAGGATGGCCTCCTTCTCAGCATCAGGGTCTTGCTTGCACCTGGAGACTACCTCTGCTGTGTGAAGTTACATACTCATGAGTTGTGGGCATCTTCATAATAAGTATTTACGAAATGATTACCACAAGTATACGCCCAGTTATTTGGAGAAGATGTAAGGAGAGCATTATTATTAAAAGTATTTACATGTTTCTTATGTCCATCTCTTGGTTTGTCTTTTTTAAGGATGTTGAAGAGTCACAAAACCACCCTGGCGAACCCATTGGCGATGACTATAGAAAGATGGGAACACTTTTTGGTGAACTGAACAAAACCCTCCTCAACATGGGCTTCACAAGGATGTATTTTGGAGAACGAATTGTAGAACCAGTAGTGGTCATTTTCTTTTGGCTCATGCTATGGTTCCTTGGCCTACAAGCCCTTGGACTAGTTGCTGTTCTTTGCCTTGTCATTATTTATGTACAGCAGTAAAACACTGGACATTTGGTGGCCATGTATGTAATTGATAGAGCTACAGACTTGGGCTTTTTGAAAGCCAAAAGAGTTTGACATATTTCATATTGTGTACTGACTGTTTTGTAATTAAAGTTATAAATGAATTTCTTTAAAACGCAACTTTTTGTAAGTACAAGGATGAATATATATATTTTTGACTATATATTAGCTTATGCAAACTCTTTTTCACTCCTGTGATCTGTACCTACCTTTCGACACCTGCTTCCCCATGCCAAATCTGAACATCACCCACCAGTGATGGGGCAAATAGCATGGCATGGAGAAGCAGTGGAGCAATGCAGATCTTGTAAAGTTCCAGTGAAACATTTGGAAAGAAAGAGGAAATAAGAATAAGTTTTAATTGGAAAACTGTTCCACCCCCACCTCCACTGAAAAATCCCATTTGAGGGAGAGATTTGTCTTTCTGTCTTCTCTGCGTAGTCCAAAACAAAGTAAGTGATAACTGCCACACGCCACCGTGGAGCTATGAAAATGAACAATGCCAGCTGTTTCCTAAGACTGAAAATGCCATATTTATTATTGGTGGTGAAGCTTGGGGACTAAATGTAAGTTTTTAATGTGTTATACCTGGGCCTTCATTACGCTGTAACGTTAGAGATGATTCTGGTGCTCATTCCTTCCTGTGAGTTTTTAAGGCTGCATGCCTGGCAGTGCCTGTAATTTGTACCTAGCCAGTTGCATGTTTTTCCTAGAGACATTCTCAGTGCATTTGTTTCCAAAGTTTATAATTTTATAGTTCTTTTGTAACAATTATTCAAAAAGGTTTAAAACAATGCCTTTTTCTGTCATGGTATGGAGTTTTTCAAAAAAAGAATGACTTCTATCTTATAAAAGAAAAAAATCACATCATTTTTCTTTGATATCTGTATTGAAGAATACAAAAGTACAAAATAAATTTACATGCTTAAATTGAGAACTCACTCAGTAGCCACTTATAATATTCTAGGATTAAAGTCGATTGACTAGCCATATTTTTAATGTGTACTATGTGGTTTTATATTGAAATAAGCATTTCTTTAAATATACTTTGAAAATTAAAAATGACTGATATATTTGGTTTTGTTAAAGAACCTAAAATTTTTACACTTTCATCAAAGAGTCATCTAATTGAACAATGAAACTTAAATACAAAAATGGGGCGACGAAGTGTTTTTGCTTGGCAGGGCGTTAACTAAAGCAATAGGGTGCTTACTAGGCCACTTTGTAAAGCTCTTACTTATGCCATTTTGAACATTATTCTGTAAGAAATTTCAAAACAGAAAATTATGAAAACAGGAGGACTTAAATGTACTGTGCATCTGTGTGTTGTATATAAACACGGGCCTCTAAAATTTGGCTTTTGGAAAACAAAAAAAGTTTGTGCTGTCTCGTGTCTTTATTGTGTTTGTGATATTTTTGTAAATCACCTTTCCAGAGTTGAGTGTCAGGGCAGGGTGTTTGGAAAAAGGTCCCTTTGCATCCAGTAGGATTGCAAGGTTCTAACAGAGGCCGGGAGACTTTGCATCTGTGCACAAAATGCTAATGAGCGCTTTCTTCCCTGGCGCTACCAGGAAGGCTGATTTCCTTTCAGAATGCAAAATAAAAGACACAGTGGACACAACAGCAGCTCTGGTCCTACCGGTGCTTCTCTTAAGAATGCTTTAAAGGAAGCCCTAGTGTTTACATATAACACCCCTTGATGCTATGCATGTGCACACTTGTGTTAACGGGTGTATTTTATGAAAAATAGGGTGCACTTGCTGCTCTCACCTTCACATACATTATGGATTAATGTAGTATGCCATCAAAGTTTTTGCTTAGTATTGAAAAAAACCTTTACATAAAGTATTTTCTCTCCTTCAACACGTTAGAATATTGATTGTACTGTTATCCTTCAGTGAAACATCATTTCTTTGGTTCACAGTGTAAAAAAAAAAAAGTAGATTCAAAATGATTCACAGTTATCTCAGTTTTAAATGTAAATTATCGAAGTTACTTATAAACCAAGACATAACAGTTAAGTGCTAAGGTCATTGAACTGCTGGTGTGCGTGGCATCCTTACTGTTAGCCTGTATTCAAAGGAAAAGTCAGGAGCTAACCCCAGCCGACCACACATCAGCAGACCCCTTCTCTTTGAACTGAGCAGTATTTTGTACGACTCACTTTCTTGTGTCAGAACAAGGTGCATCTGTACACAGGAGCCGCTCGCACCGGCTAACAAGAGCCTCTACTGTATGTTTTCCTGCCTGCGGTGATAGCTACTTAGCAGATTAAACTGGCTACGGTGAAAATATTTACATCATAAAATTTGGCAAAACTACAAAGAAGGACATTTTTTTTTTTTTTGCTGGAGAGCCAGCTGTAAAAAAAAAAAAAAAAAAAAAAAAAACAAAAAAACCTCAGCATATTCCCAATCAGCCACCCTGGAGGCCACATTCCCGTGGCCACCACGGTCTTCAAAGGAAAGACAGCATGTGTTATGAAACAAGCAAAGCACATGTGGTATGTCCCCACATACTGAGATACCCAGAGCCACTGCGGCATCTTCTCCACCTGGAGGTCGGACCACAGTTGTCTTTGAAGTATGTGTCTGATTGAGCATTTTGATGAGAGAAAAATCTCTCTGGGCTGTCAGTGAGCTGCAGACCCAGAAAGAATGAGGCAGGAGATGAGGAGAAGAAAGACAAGACTTAAGGGGCTAAAGTAAAGGCCAGCTGTAATTTCAAACCTTAGAAACAGTTCGATCCAGGCAGTGAGAGGCCCAGAGATCTTTGGCTTATAGCATATAGTTAAGTCGTTTTACAGATGTTTGTTGGTTATAAATTATTGAAACTGCTTTCGCCTTACGAAGTGAACCAAAGAAAACAGTCAGATCATACTTGCAGACCTGTTAAAACTCTGGGAAAGCGTGCAAATTAAAGAAGAATACACAGGACAAGGCTTTGGCGTTGTTGGTGGATTTCCTCTTTTGTAACTACTATTTCTCTGCCGGAGACTTTAAGTTAGGTCCTTGGAGGTCAGACCAGCGCCTGCTCTCTCATTCCATCACACAGCTCCTGCTTGCTGCTCTTCGTCTGCTAAGGGCTCCTCCGTCTGCCGCTCCAGGTCAGAGCACTGGGCAGACTAGAGGATCCCCAGTTTAAGGGCTTGCTTGCTTGCTTACAAAATTCCTCAAATTCAGCACAATAATAATAATAATAATAATAATAATAATAATAATAATAATAATAATAATAATAATAATAAAGACCTCAGCATTTTTCCCCAAAGTCTTTTCTTTGCATGCCCCTCCCCTTCAGCATTGGCACAATTCTCTCGCCAGCTACTGTGGAGGAACTGTAAATCCAATCTCCAGCTCCTGTCTCTCCCTCACCGCCCACATATAACCAGTTACTAAGTCCTACCTGTTTTGTTTCTAGTAACTTCTTTTCTCTTTGTGCTTCTCTTCACTCGGAGCATCACTCACAGCCCATCCAGCCCGTCTTCTCACCTGGGAGAATTCTCGCCTCTGAGAATCCTAATCAGTATCTCCACCTTCGTTGCCCACTCTGGAATTCAGTAATACTTCTAAAATATGACTTTGATCTCCTTGATTTCAATGTTGTTAATGCTTCTTGTTGCTGCTATGGCAAAGCCTAAACTCTCTAATAGCTATGTCACCTTTCATGAACTATTCTTCCCCCCTCATCTTTCCACGCCACTACCCTCTCCAAGACTCAACCACACTAAATGCTTTTATCAGTTCCCTGAAAGAGACACACTTTCCTCCAGAACTTCATATGTGCTTGACTCTCTTTAGCCCCAACCCCTACCTCACCTGGCCAACAACTACACGGAGTACTCAACTGAGGCATCCTTTAACTTCCCCCTTAAGTCCAGTTTGGGCACCTCATATGTCCCTTTTTATGTAGAAATTGATCAACACACTCATGCCTATTTGTCAGTTCCTTCCACTAGATAGTGGACTTCTCATGGGCAGAGAGCGTGTCTGTTGTGTCTATAGTTACACTGCCAGTGCCTACCAGGACACCTACATGGAACAGGTTCTCAATGAGAACATCCACCTCATTTATTCACATTCTCCCTGTTGTCTATTAATAGAGAAGCCCAGGGATAGTGACTTGTGACTCTATGGTAGTATGCTTGCCTTACATGCTTAAAGCCCTGGATTCCTTTCCCAGTGTTGAGAAGGAAGAAGGCCTAGAGTTGGTTGTATATCAGAATTCTTTGGCTCCAAAAGTAGTAATTGTTCATAAAGAGAATGGTTGGGCGTGCATATATAATGACATTTACTCATTGAGTCCTGTAGCCGTTTGTGTACATACAGCATTGCTACCATACATTCACACTTTTAGGGGAAATGCATGGTTGATGCCAATAGATATGCCTACTGATGGCACTAAAATTTCATTCTATCAATATTTTTCAGTCAAGTTTTATCTGCTAAATTTACATTTTATTCAAGCAAAAATTTTCAAATATCTGATCTAAATATTTTAGGCTCCAGAATAAGTTCACTATTCCACTTCGCCCAGCAGCCCAAATGTTCTATTTCAAAAGCAAGCGTCTGAAGCACTTTGCTAAACCTGCCTGGTAAACAATGCTCTTTTCCAAGCCTGCGTTCTCAGCATCTCCTCTGTCTCCCTGCACCCTGTGCGACTGACTCCTCGGGTAATTGCTGCCACATCAGGTTTGGAAATTGCCAGAGTAACAGCACACCTGAGGCACAGTAAAATGTACCTACTCATTGCTTCAGTTGGAGCAAAAAGGCAGAGCCCGCCGTGTATGTGAGTGAGTGTGTGTGTGTGTGTGTGTGTGTGTGTGTGTGTCCCTTAACCTAGTAGAGAAGTAGGAAAACTGAGGTCAAGATCACCTTCTACCTCCATGTTGTGTGTATTCCTTCTGTTGATTTGACTGTTGTATAACTTAGAATTCTGGAAGAATTTTAGAGGCCCGGTGAAGTTCAGAACAGGCA